TTATAACTCGCTATTGATAAGAATCATGGGGGCATGATAATGTTGGCCTTCTTGTGATGGGCTTGTCATTACAAGGTCCATTGACCAACCTAGGTGAGTTTTTCATGATATCATCATGGTTGACCAAATATATATTTTTTCTTGTTCTTTTCTCTTGCCTAGACTTTTGCCTTCTTACGATCCTTCTTGAATTGGTGAAGTTGGATTTTCTGTCACTCCCCGAGTCTACACCCTAGGCGGGACTAGCATTCGAGAACCATTGCTGGCCCAAAGCGAACCCTTGGCCTGACTTACTTAACTCAATGGAAGACTCCAAGCATGATTTCAATGATCAAAATAACTTTCTCAAGTAGTTTAATAATATAACTTAGAATGTTAAAAGGATTAAACATTCAACTTGGCCAAAATGGCAACTCAAGTCTTAACATAAGATAAAATGAGAAGACTAAAGAACTAATAACTGACTGTCTATGAAGTCTCTAAAATAACTGAGATGGATGTTAGGACAAACCCCACAACATCCTAATGAACTAAACTAGAAAGCAAATAAAAGACTCATCCGAATGCAAGGAGGCTCACCACAGACTCTGAGTGCTCAAGCTGGATCAACGAGGCGCTGAATGTTGATCCTGGTTACCTGCATCTGCATCATAAGACGAAGCAAGCGAACTGGCATCAGTACATTGAATGTACGAATATGCGAGTTGGAATGCTAAACAATACATAGGCTTGAAAAGATTCTGAAAGAAACACTTATCTTGGCTCTTCTCAACTCATGAATAACTTAACTCAAAATAAAGCAATGAGCACATGTAATATATGAAAGAGCTTTATAAACAGTAAGAGCAACTTAGTTTGTTAAAGGAATGCAGTAACAAACTCAACTTTACTCATATAATAAAATAATATAGTTTTTGTGGGAGATTATCTAACCGACAACCACCATTATGAGCCTAAGTGGTGATACAACGTCTTGCCCACGCTGCCAGAATTGTCCTATACTTTGTCGTCACATAGAACGCTTAACTTAGTGGATCCACTAGCTTAACTTATGTGATCATCTAAAAAGTATGACACATTAATACCCATGATGACTACATGGTTTATGGAGACTTGAGTTAATATGAACTCGCATCCCTATATTGGTGCTCAATACTACTCCCAAAAATATACTTAGCTCATATGTTTTAAAAACAAACTTTTTTCTTTGGTTTGAGATAATTACTCAAAACTTAGCTTAAAAGCTCTCTTGGAATCGACGTTCCCTTTTCTTGCTCAAATGTGAAAAACATTTATAAACTCTTTGGGAATACTTAGTTCCCTAATAGTTTTTTGAGAAATGAACTCAACTTTTTACTCTTTGCTTATCTTGAAACTTTAGTCTTAAAACAAAGTTAAAAGGTTTGTTAAAGACTCTTGAAAACCTTAGAACTTAGCTTTGACTTGCTTCTTAACTTCTAGACTTGACTCTTAACTTCTCTTAACATTGATCCTAACTTTCCTTGAATTGGATTATGGATTCAAGGTTCATGATCTCACATTTATGGATGATTTCATGATGTTTATATGTACCTTAGAGTGTTGGAATCAACTAGAAAACATAGGTACATTGCTAAGGAACAAGTACTAAAAGGGGGGAAACGAATGGGGAGAACTGGCGTCCCTAACGCTCTGAGAGGCGCCAGCCCTCAAACTTCAGAGGACCTGCTGGGGCGCGCTGGCTGGCGTGTCGCCCCAAGGGGTGAACTTCAAAGTCCCTTTTGGGGCGCGCTGGCTGGTGCGACGCCTCACCCCCCCTTCCCTAGGTTTTTGACGATTTTTCTTCTCCGTTTTTCAACTCTAAACCTCAATGGTTCTTTCCCCAAACACTTAGGATCATATTACCCTCAACATACAACAGATTTTAACTCGAAAATTCACCCAAAAACACGAATCAAATCAACTAGAGACTTTCAACAACACAACCATCAAGAACTCAATGAATTTTCAACAATGTTCTTCAAGAACTCACTTTCTTTGCATTCAAATAACCTAAATTTGATGAATTGAAACAAGATTGGCGTGTGGGTGAACTAACCTAACACTATGTGATCTCACATACCTTGTAGGATCACCCCCGACGAATTCCACAAGCCAGACTTCGACGATCTTGGCTCTCTTCTCCTTTCTTCTCTTTTCTCTTTTCTCCAAGCCCTAGCGTGAAAATTCTAATTTTTCTAAATTGACCAAAATCTAGTTTTACCCCAATAAATCTCCTAAGAACGAATTAGAGTAATTAGGTAAGGAAAAGACTAAATTACCCTTCCAAACCCGGATTAGACATTTCTTAATCCAACAGCCCACCTTCCAAAGGGCATAACTTACTCATACGAACTCGGAATGGTGCAAAATCGGCGGCGTTGGAAAGATCATTCCAACCATACTTGGAAGTACACCTAACTCATCGTGAGCTGGGAGTTATGGTCGTTTGAAGTTGACCAAAAAACTCACTTTTCCTAACTTAACAATATTCCAGATTTGTCACTATTTCCAAAAACGATTATTTCAAGTTCTTAGCTTCTTCCTAGCTATTTCAAATTGCGAGATGTTACATTTTCTCACTAGACTTAATATATTGTTATAATACTTTTCATTTAGTTACTTGGATTATTGGTTCACAAAATTAGTAGTAGTTCTACACTTAATCATATGGTTAACTAAAGTTGCTCATTTTCTCAATTAAATCACAAAAAATATGAATATTTGGTCTAGCAATCCGATCAACGAAGTGGAACATAAATAGAAAATACTATTTATAAGAAAGTGTTAGTTAATTGTTCAAATTTGAAGATCGAGAGAATATCTAATCACTTGTGGCTCAACAATTAATTGTACATTAATTTTAGATTGTATTTTTTCCACATTAAATTTGATATTATTCATTACACTTTAATTTTAATATAATTCATACTTTATATACTATTTGCATGGCACACATGCAACACACGTGAAAAAGCTATCACATATCTGAGTTGAGTTTTTTTTTTTTTTAAATAGTTTCGTTGTTAATATACCCAAAATGGTTTGTATGACTGTTTTATAACCTGCCAAAAATGATTTAGCTACTCTGTAACTTACCAAATATGATTATCCTTTAATTACTAATTAGTTTGATAAATTCACCTCCCATTATTATTTTTTTAAAATTTACAGTTGTAAAAACAATAAATGTTCCATTATAACTAACAAAAAAACAAAGCCAATCCCTGTCCTCTTTCTCCTGTACTTACCTTAAAGGGAAAAGGGTCTAATATACCCCTCAATTTTGTCATTTAGAGCTGATATATCCCTCGTTATGAAAGTGGTTCATATATACTCCTACTTATATACAAATGACTCACATATACCCTTTTCTTCTAACGGAAATGGAAAAAATTAATTTTAGTGTTTTTTTCTTTTTTTAAAAAAAATAATATAATCCCGTATGGATATATTTAATCCTTCCTCAAACCTTTTTTTTTGTTTCAATGACTAATTTAGATTTATTATTTTGATGGTCACATTTATTTATGTTTCACTAATATTCTTGTAAAACTTATATAGATGACCAAATTTTTTTCTTCAAATACAAAAATTAAATTACAATATAGACAAAAAAATAGTTCAATTTTTTTTTCTTTACACTAAGGAATGAAAGAAAAAAAATAAAATAAGAATAAGAAACCCAAATAACGATAATCAAAGAAGTCAAAAATAATTTATTTACGAAAAAGATTAAAAAATACCTTAAACTTTGCTATAAGAATCATATATACCATCCCTTAATGATTTAAAAAAATTTAAAAGTCAAAGATATAAATTTAAAACTATTTTTTTCACTTCCGTTAAATGAAGGGTATGTGTGAGCTCATTTTGTAACGGTAGGGGTATATATGAGCCGTTTGTATAACGGTAAGGGTATATATGAGTCACTTTCATAACAAGAGACATATCAACTCCAAATGGCAAGGTTGAGGGGTATATCAGGCCATTTTCCCTACCTTAAATGATAGTCCGTTTCAATATTTAACTCTCTTTTAAATACTTACCACTCTAATAATTTATACGACTCACTTTTTTTTTAATTCACATTAAAACAAACACAATTCTATACCTAGATAATTTATAACCGCACAAACATTACTAATGTAATATACATCATAGATTTCAAAAATCTTTTATGCTTACATTTTGTTTCCAGTCAAACTAACTTATTTAAATTAAAATAGAGTATCTATACCTTTTTAATGAGATAGATTTATAGTCACATAAACAGTGATGACATAATTTAGACATAAATTTTAAAAAACTTTTATTCTTAAATTGTGTATCTAGTAAAACTAACTTATATTAATTGGAACGGCATGAATATCTATACATTTTTAATGAGATAGATTTCTAGTCCATAATTTAGACATAAATTTTTAAAATGTTTTATTCTTAAATTTTGTATCTAGTCAAACTAACTTATATAAATTGGAACGGCATGAATATCTATACATTTTCAATGAGATAGATTTATAGTCCATAATTTAGACATAAATTTTAAAAATCTTTTATTCTTAAATTTTGGATCTAGTCAAACTAACTTAAATTCTTCAATTTCATATCTAGTCAAACTATGTCATATAAATCGAGACGGAGGAGGAGATAGATATATATATTTTCCCTCTCTTTTCTGGTTTCTCTTCCTTAGCAAAACCAAAAAAACACCCTCTGTCTCACGCAAGTAATAATCTTCCATAAAAGGGTGTTCTCAGTCAGCTAAACATTCAAAAGTTTCGAAGTCTTCAGTCCCCCTGACCCTGTTACTCCTGTTTTCTTACAGTTTCAAGAATTCAAACCTCTGGTTTTTTTTCCTCTTTATTCAGGTTAGTGTTTCTTGTGAAGAATGTGTTTATTATGCATGTGACTCTTCTCTTTTGAGCATTTTGATTTTTGATCAAGAAAATTGTGTCTTTTTTGAACTCAGGTGCTGAAAGATGGACTCAGGGGATGGCTCTGGTCCAAAACAGAAGAGAACTAGACAACAGTTTTTGAAATATTGTGTTGATTTTACTGAGAAAAGGAACAGGTCTTGTCAAAATGGTAATCTTACTCCGTCTTCTTCGACTTGTTCTGTGAATATTGGAAAAGAGGGTGTGAGTTGTGGGAGGAAAAGAAAAATGGCAGTTTCTGAAGGTGATAGGAGAAAAATGGGAAAATGGTCAGAAGATGCAAGAAAATTAAGAAAAGGGAAAAAGAAAGTGGATAATGGGAAGTTCAGTCCAGGAACTTGTGAGTCTATCATGGAACGGATTTTCGTCGAGGAAATACCTGATGATGATGTTATGGATGATTCGGAGGATGATTCTGATGATGATGATACGGATGATTCGGAGGATGATTCTGATGATGTTGTTATCATTGAAGAGGAGGAGGGTGTAAATAATGAATCAGGTTCAAGATGGTGGTCGAATACGGGCTTAAAGAGTAATATGTTGAATGCAAAAGATCAGGAGGTTGTTTCATCTACCTCAAGCATGTGTGGTAGGACACCGGTGAAATCGGTGGAAGTGTATACTGATAGCACCTCATCTTCTGAGTCTGAGTCTCAGTCGGATTCTAGCCAATATGATGATGTAATAGGTGATTTTGATGATACGGAATCAGAAGATGAAACGAATGAAGAAGGAGAAAAAGAGTCGAATGAGGGGTTAGTACCTGAGCTTGTTGTTGAGAGTGAAAAGCAGAAGAAAGGTGGAGCATATGTTCTTCGTGCGCGTTCACTTTCTATGTCCAAAAAGAAGAAGTTAAACAATCGAAATGATAGTAGTAGCCCAATTCTTCTTACTGATGAGGAGGAGGAGTTTGATGACTCGGGGTCTGATAGCGAGGAGTCTAAATCTGAAGAGGATTGCGCAGTTGATGACTCGGTGAAGAATGTTGTTCAAAAGGATGTTGTTCGAAAGGATAGGAGGACTGGAAAGAAGATTCTTGAAGATTCTGAATTTATGAAGTTTGTTGTTGATTCTATCATAAATGTTGATGATCATGATAAACTTACTCCTTTTGAAGAGAAGGAACAGGTTCCTGTCAAGGAAACACTTCCTTTAGTATTTCGGTTTGAAGACGAGGATGAACCTCCTCCCCCTGAGAAAGAAGAATGGGAAAAGGAAGTTGAAAATCTTTTTGCTGAAATGCAGATGTGTCTCTTAGAGTCAGATATTGGCTTTACAAATCCATCCGTTTCGCCGATGCAGAGTGGAGATTTAACTAACTGTCAGATGGGGAACCACCAACTTGTTCTAGATGAACAAATTGGACTCCTCTGTAAAGTTTGTTCCTATGTGCATTTGGAGATCAAGTACATCTTCCCTTCTTTTGTAAGTATACGAGTTTGTCCCGTGAAGCACTTTTTCTTTTAAAATTAGGAACACAATTTCAAGTTCTACATGAATCAATTCAAAACAACTGCTACTTTTTATGCTACTAGATTGAAAAGGTAATCTACACTGTTTAGCAAAAGGACATACTACACAGTCTATTATTTTACTTCTAATAGTATTGATATCAGTAGCAAACAGTTTACTAAGCACTGAAGTAGAAGTGTGTCCTAGTCTTTTGTGCCAAAGACTAATGTTCCAGTTTGATGTTTGATACACCATTAGATTCTTGAGCAGCTAAGCTAATAGGTTTTCCTGCAGCTTGACACAGTAGCCAATATAGCCCATTGTCCTCTTTACCAATCTCCTTCACCTTCCCAGTGAAGAGATCCTGAAAAACAAAGAAGTCAGGAATGAAGGAAACAAAGCATCGCAACTCACTTGTTAGTTTTGAAATCGAAAGTAAATTCAACTTAACCTGTGGGATATACAACACATTGGATATAGTACTCTCATCAGATATAGTACTTGATCCAGTGTGTGTAACCTGTGCCACATCTCCATTAGGCAGTTACACTTTCTTTGGATTGCTCAGTTTATTAATTGAGGATTTATTTAGCAAATTCAAGTCTGAAGCCATATGGTTTGTTGCCCTTTTTTCTGCAATCTAATCAGGATTGTGATAGACTATCATAGCCATAGGGGCAATCATACCTGTCACATTTGCAGATGTGTTAAGAGGTAGGATCATTGTTGATCTGAGGAGTGTGTTGTGTCAGCAGCTGCACTATGTGATTATACTGCTCTTGTGTGAAAGGACTAGCCTCAACATGACTTAGTTGGGTTTGAACTTGCTCCATGCTGCCTGCTTTTTACGCTGATCATTCACATTTGTGTTGATACCATAGTCAAACGCTGGTTGTGCCCTCGGTGAACACTCAGCATGAGAAGCCTCCTTTCCTGAACTATATTTGGGAATCACTTTCACCTGTCTGCTGTACATAGCGAACTTTATAGTTACTTGAGTTTGTCATTGGATTTGCTCCCAGTAACTAACTAGTGAATTTACTAATTTACTCCTCTAGTATATGTTACTTCCTTCAACATGCTATCCTTATATTTGATCTTATAAACTGGCTCTCCAATTTATTTTTGCTTGACTCTTAAATTCATAAACTTCTGTCATCTGCAGGCTCAGAGAACTCGAGGGAGGTATGAAAGAAAACATTTAGGACAGTCGCCATCACTCTTGGATGTTGGTGGCTTCAGATTTTCTGATTCTTCTGCAGTCCAAGATTCTATGATTAATGAAGAAGGAACTGTGTGGGATTTAGTTCCCCCAAGTGCCAAATCAACAATGTATCCTCATCAACGTGGTGGATTTGAGTTTATGTGGAAAAACGTTGCTGGAGATATAAATCTCGAAAGGCTGAGACAGCCCCTATCTGATAGCAAAGGAGGATGCATAATCTCACATCCACCTGGCACCGGGAAAACCCGTCTCACCATAGTATTTCTTCAGTCATATTTGAAGCTGTTTCCAAATTCTCGACCTGTAATCATAGCTCCTTCCAGTTTGCTGCTTAACTGGGAAGCTGAGTTCCAGAAATGGGAGGTGGACATCCCCTTCCACAACTTGAACAGCAAAGATTTCTCTTTACAGGAAGATGAAGCTACTGTGAGTGTCTTTCGCTGTTTATCCCATGAGGGAAAGAGAAATCCACACCTTATACGAATGGTGAAGCTGGGATCATGGGTTAAAGGTAAGAGTGTTTTGGGGATCAGCTATGACTTGTTCAGGATTCTTACTGGAGATGATGGAGACGGTTACGCTAAACCAATTAGAGAAATCCTTCTTAAATATCCTGGTCTTCTGGTCCTTGAAGAAGGGCACACTGCTCGGAATGAGCAAAGCCTTGTCTGGAAAGCTTTGAAAAAGGTTGAAACAGAGAAGCGCATAGTTTTGTCTGGAACTCCTTTCCAGAATAACATCAAGGAGTTATACAACACTCTCTGTGTAGTCAGTCCAAAGTTTGCTGCAGATTTGGAGCAGAAATGGGCTTCTCTTAGCAGTTCCATTGACAAGAATGCCCGAGCATTGGAAGAGCTTAGGGATATTATTTCACCACTTGTCCATAAGTGTAGTGAAAATGTAAAGAAGGTAAGCCTTCCGGGTATAAGGGACACTGTAATTCACTTGAAACCCACAGATTTGCAGAAGGAGTTGCTTAGAAGGATTCCAGAGAATCCATGCTCCTTTTATGAACAAAATCTGCTGTCTCTTATTTCTGTTCATCCTTCATTAGTGGCCAAGAGGAAGGAGTTCTCTGACTTAGAAAGTCAGCTAACAGAAAGAGGCTGTCGGTTGGATCCAGATACCGGAGTAAAAATGAAATTTGTTATTGAGCTTATCAGACTTTGCGGTGGGCGGAAGGAGAGGGTTATAATATTTAGCCAGTTACTTGATCCTCTAAACCTGATCAAGGAGCAACTCAATTCTCTCTTTGGCTGGACTTTAGGTCGGGAGATTCTTTATATGGATGGGAAACTTGATGTGAAGCAGCGGCAGATATCTATAAATTCTCTTAATGACCCTAAGAGTGATGTAAAAGTGCTTCTTGCATCCATAAAAGCCTGTTCAGAAGGAATAAGTCTGATAGGGGCCTCAAGAGTGGTTTTGCTTGATGTTCTCTGGAATCCCTCAGTAGAACAGCAAGCCATCAGTCGAGCTTACAGGAATGGGCAGACCAAATTTGTGCATGTTTACTGTCCAGTAACATCAAAATGGGAGGTTGACAAGATTGAACAGCAGACGAGAAAAAAGTACCATTCAGATGTTCTTTTGTCTAGGAATCATGAAGCCAAGATGGATCCTTCATGTTCTGTGTCAGAGGATAACATACTAGAATCCATGGTTGAGCATGAGGGCCTCCGTCATATTTTTGAGAAGCTCTCTCGTGCACCACGTGTGGTGCCGCCTACTACAGGCCTTGATTCTTCTTACCAATCTCCAAAACCAAGCAGTTAGGTTAGTATGTGCTTTCTTCTGGTTTGCTGGTACATGAAGCAATCAGACATTTTTAGTGTATTTTGTTTACTGCCTGTCTTTGAAAAATAGCTCAAATGCTTTATCTCTTTCTTATCAGATCAGTTGGAGCATTTTTTGGGTTGTGAAAACACCTGTTAGAGGAATTTTGAAGCCATTCTTCATTACAGGTACATTATCATACCATCACTAAGCATTTTTCTGAAGATTCTAAATGATGTATTTGTTGAATACCCAAGACACAACAATCTGTGAAGCTTTTCATATGCTAATGAATTAACTTGGGAGTTGCAAACATTCAAGGTAAATGATGGCCTTTTATACAGTCATCATACTTGGTTACTAACACAATAAACCTAAGCATAACAATAGGAATAACTTCCACTGGGAACTAAGAATAATAGTGGTATTATATTCTGAGGAACAAGTAACTGACTAAGTAATTGACTAAGCAACAGGAAAAAATTAAATACAAGGAGCTGGAGTAGGTGTTTTAACACTCTCCCTCAACTCTTGCTTCTTTCCTTTTAATGACGCCTAGAACGACAAAAGTTTCCAAGCTAACTGCTGGTCGAGCGTTTTGTTAATATATCGGCAACTTGATTTTCTGTTTTGACCTGCACTATTTCCTTTTCTTCTTCAAGAACTTTTTCACGAAGAATATGGTAATGTACCTCCACATGCTTAGTCCTAGCGTGAAACACTGGTTGTCACAATACAATGGAATTGAATACTTCATTGGCTGATGCAAATACTTCATTACCATACCATGATTTAATCCATAGAGTGCCTTTTGAAGCTTACACACATGCTCAGGGTGATCTTGACATTGTAGATCTCATTATATCCAACTATTCATGCAGAAATGCATTTTTTCACAGGTTCCAATTCTTACTAGCTGCAAATGCAAGTAGGACTCTTGCCACTGAACTAAACGTTTCATCGTAGTCTAGTCCATATGCATAATGCTGAGAAAAACCCCAAGCTACAAGACTTGTACCCTTCAATTGATCCATCTGTGTGATGCTTTATCTTGTAGACCAATTTAGTAGAAATAGGTTTGACATCCTTTGGATTTGTCACGAGCTTCCATGTTTGATTTCATTCTAGCACATAGCAATTTCCTCCTCCATAGCTTTAAACCACTTAACCAAATTATTACTGCTATAAGTTTCATTAACACTACTATATTGCAACGGAACTTTTTATACTGAAAAAAAAATATCACAAATACCACGTTTTTAGACAAGAAAGATCTTATTTTTTGTGACATTTTTATCTTTTACTTATTCCTTTCCTTCTGGTTTCAGGTAGTTTGATGCAGATTCACATGAAGAATGCAGATAAGATTAGGAGTTTTCATCACCCACAGGATGTTCTTGTAACTGCAAAAACATTGCTTCATGTCTATTTATGTATACACTTCACATCATATATTGTGATTTTGATGATATAAAAAATTAACTTCTCATAATTTGAATGGATAGTAACTACTTAACATCTTACAATGTCATGATTAGCTATTATTGTTTTAGTTAGTTTATGGAAATAATGTTAATTCTAGTTGGTAAAAATCTAAGTTATTACCAGTAAGCTCATTGCTAATATCTTCATTAAAGTAAGTATATGCAGCAGAAGCCTCAGTTTGATTAGCTATGTAGCTCATCCTTTGGAAAAATTCTTTTTTGGTTTCTTCTTCCGTATCTACATTAGAGTCCGACTAATCTTAATTCGTATAGTGTAGAATCCCATTTAGGGTAAAGTGCTCTTTATCAATAATTTTATATACCTTTCGAAAAAAGTCAATATAAGTATTTTACGAGAAAATTAGAGTGAATCATATAATATTTGCACCCAATACTTTTAGCAAGACCTTTTACCTTATTGTAGATGTATATATAAGTTGTGAATGGAGAGCACACCAGTTGATTTTTTATTTGACTGTAACGCTTATTATTTAGTGTAGTTATCACATTCAATATTTGCTATCTAGAGTTAATTTAGTGTTACAATCACCATTTTAATTTAGTTACTTGGATTATTGCATCACAAAATAAATAAGAGTTCTACACACTTTATGCTTAAATCATACGTTTTGTTAAAATCACAAAAAAAAAAAAAGTAATAGTGTTTGGTCATGATAGGCAACAGGATCATTAAAGTGGAACATAAATCAAGAATATAATTTATAAGAATGTATGTGTTAGTTGTTTAAGAATGTGTGTTAGTTGTTTAACTTTGTAGGTCTGGATAATATCTAATTATTTGTTGCTCATCAATTAAACGTTTATTGATTTCATATTTTATTTTTTATTTTAAATTTATGTTACTTACTGCACTTTAATTTATATATAATTCATATTGTATATACTATTTGCAGGGGACAGATATACAATGTACGTGTCAAAAATTCGTACATACATAATTATATACATTTGTACGCAATAAATGATTTACAAGTATTAGATACTTTTTTTGAAGTTTAATTATAACTTTTATCACTTTGATAGATTTAGAGGAGAATTGTGAATTTTAGGAAAAGGTAGAGTTCAGGATTAGGACAAATATGAATGAATTGTAACTACTTCAAATTATTATAAACCACATACCTCAATTAGTAGGGTTCATTTTTGCCTTCAAAGTTCAAAAATTGCATGTTGCACTAACTCTATTTTTTGTTTGTTTCTTATTTATTTATTGTTAGAGAGCCCTTATAACTCGCTATTGATAAGAATCCTCGGGGCATGGCCATGTTGGCCTTCTTGTGATGGTCTTGTCATTACAAGGTCCATTGACCAACCTAGGTGAGTTTTTCATGATATCATCATGGTTGACCAAATATTTTTTTTTTCTTGTTCTTTTCTCTTGCCTAGACTTTTGCCTTCTTACGAGCCTTCTTGAATTGGTGAAGTTGGATTTTCTGTCACTCCCCGAGTCTACACCCTAGGCGGGACTGACACTCGAGAACCATTGTTAGCCCCAAGCGAACCCTTGACCTGGCTTACTTAACTCAATGGAAGACTCTAAGCATGATTTCAATGATCAAAATAACTTTCTCAAATAGCTTAATAATATAAGTTAGAATGTTAAAAGGACTAAACATTCAACTTGGCCAAAATGGCAACCCAAGTCTTAACATAAGATAAAATGAGAAGACTAAAGAACTAATAAACTAAACTAGAAAGCAAATAAAGGACTCCTCCGAATGCAAGGAGGCTCACCACAGACTTTGAGTGCTCAAGTTGGATCAACGAGGCGCTGAATGCTGATCCTGGTTACCTGCGTATGCATCATAAGACGATGCAGGCCAACTGGAATCAGTACATTGAATGTATGAGTATGCGAGTTGGAATGCTAAACAATACATAGGCTTGAAAAGATTCTGAAAGAAACACTTACCTTGGCTCTTCTCAACTCATGAATAACTTAACTCAAAATAAAGCAATGAACACATGCAATATATGAAAAGGCTTTATAATAGTAAAAGCAACTTAGTTCGTTAAAGGAATGCAGTAACAAACTCAACTTTACTCATATAATAAAATAATATAGTTTCTGTGGGAGATTCTCTAACTGACAACCACCATTATGAGCCTAAGTGGTGATACAACGTCTTGCCCACGGTGTCAGAATTGTTCTATACTTTGCCGTCACATAAAACGCTTAACTTAGTGGATCCACTAGCTTAACTTATGTGATCATCTAAAAAGTATGACCCATTAATACCCATGATGACTACATGGTTTATGGAGACTTGAATTAATATGAACTCGCATCCCCATATCAGTCTTGGCTCTCTTCTCCCCGACGAATTCCACAAGCCAAACTTCGACGATCTTGGCTCTCTTGTCCTTTCTTCTCTTTTCTCTTTTCTCCAAGCACTAGCGTGAAAATTCTAATTTTTCTAAACTGACCAAAATCTGGTTTTACCCCAATAAATCTCCTAAGAACGAATTAGAGTAATTAGGTAAGGAAAAGACTAAATTACCCTTCCAAACCCGGATTAGACTTTTCTTAATCCAACAGCCCAACTTCCAAAAGGCATAACTTACTCATACGAACTCGGAATGGTGCAAAATTGGCAGCGTTGGAAAGATCATTCCAACCATACCTGGAAGTACACCTAACTCATCCTGAGCTAGGAGTTATGACCGTTTGAAGTTGACCAAAAAACTCACTTTTCCTAACTTAACAATATTCCAGATTTGTCACTATTTCCAAAAACGATTATTTCAAATTCTTAGCTTCTTCCTAGCTATTTCAAATTGCGAGATGTTACATTTTCTCACTAGACTTAATATACTGTTATAATACTTTTGATTTAGTTACTTGTATTATTGGTTCACAAAATTAGTAGTAGTTCTACACTTAATCATATGGTTAACTAAAGTTGCTCATTTTCTCAATTAAATCACAAAAAATATGAATATTAGGTCTAGCAATCCAATCATCGAAGTGGAACATAAATATAAAATTCTACTATATTATAAAAGAGAGTTTCGGTCCAAGTATAATATATAACATTCAAGATTGGACTTTTCCCAATCTTGAATATTATATATTATACTTGTGGGACTTTTAAAAATTCTATTTTATACCCAAGTATAATATATAATATTCAAGATTGAGATTTTCTTGAATATTATATTATATTTATTATTTAGTAGAACTTGGGCATAAACTCCCTTTTAAAATAATATAGAATATGTATATATATATATATATATATATATTTATTTATTTATTTATTTTTATTTTATTTTATTTTTATTATATTTTTTTTCTACTTATTTTTTTTATTATAAAAGCGAGTTTAGGCCCAAGTATAATATATAATATTAAAGATTGGGACTTTCTTGAATATTATATATTATATTTATTATATAGTAGAACTTGGGCATAAACTCCCTTTTAAAATAATATAGAATATGTATATATATATATATATATATCTCACAAATGGAAAGTCTCAATCAAGGAAG